TCCTCTGTTGAGGGTGTTTGTTTTGTTTTGTGCTTAAAACTAAGACTTAAGAATTTGATATTGGGAGGACCAGCTTATGGTAGAAGGACACATTTTGAAATTTTGTCAGTACTTCTTCAGGTATTGCAATAGTAGTTGGTTCAGTCTAGTCATACATGCTTACTGATTCATCGTAAAATGCTTCCTCTTTTGTAGTGTGCCATTCCAGCAAATTTAAACGTTGTAAAAACAATCTCAGCACTAAAAATTAAAAGTTTGCAGCCACCTTGTTAAGTGATGGAGGGTCTTGCATATATTACCAGGTAAATGTTTTCTATAATCCTGTGACCACAAAATCTTAGTTGCTATGGAATCCATGGAGTAAAATGCAGTTTCATCAAAGATGAAAACAGGCGAAGTAAAATCTGATCCTTCCTGGCCAAAAATTAAAAACAAAAATTACTTTCAATTAATTTAAGTAGTAAACATCTGCAAATTCTCATTTAAAACCCAAGATTGGGGAGGGGAGTTAATTGGCCATTTAAGATGTTCCCTTCTTAAAATAGTATTTGGAAGTCTTTTGAAAAATAGCTCTAGTTGTTGCTCTTTCCACTGTTATCATAAGTTGTAAGAGAAACGACTGGACTTGTGTTTAAAGAAAGATGTTAGATGTTGGATTTTGTGTCCTCGTTTTAAAATTGCAGTTATGTATTATTTTTACAGATATTTTGAGTTAATGCAGTTTCTGTCGTGTGTGTTGTGACTTTAGAATCAACAAAAAATTGGCCCTTCTGAACTATGGTATAAAAAGTGCTTCATGGTTTTGAAGCATTTCAGATGAAAGGTATGGAAGAAAGAGGACAGCAAAAGCTTGTCTGTCAACCTTCATTGTGGTCAAGCTTTCAGTATTGATGAATGCTATTATGCTGGATTTTTTTTCCAGCTTAACTATGATTATTAGCTTCAGTTTCATCTTTAATATTTTAACTTGTGTGTTCTGTTGCTATATTGTTCATTGATGCAATTCTTTGAAGCAGTTCATAGTTTTCAATCTGCCCCACTGTAAAATTAGTACTATGCATCTTCGTGATACTGTTTTGGAAGTGCTGTACATTCATAAACATGAGCTTTTGTACTTTTTCAGACCCGAACATTCAGTAACAGTACATGAAGAGCTGACTTATAAGATGGAACAAATGGGATGATAAATCAAAACACATGGTTGCAACAGAAAAGCACTAAATTTCAGTCTCTTGTTATATGCCTCAGTTTAGTCACATATTCTAAAGACTGCTAACTAATTCTGGAAATATTCCTAACATCTTGGGAAAATTGATTGTGATGTACTGAGGCTGAGAGAAGGAAGCTAATGCCTTAAGCCTTGCATCAAGGGTAGTAATTAGTTTGGTCTACAGATATTGTTTGTAACCAGATATTCTTAACTAAAGTTCTGTCTCTCATCAGGGTTTTACATAAGCCATACTTTGTAGCAATAGTTTTGTTTTAGGTGCTTAGTTTTATAGGACTAACTAAAGTAGCAGGTAAATCATCATTTTTAAGACTGTTACACTTTGTTTCTGAAGTTCCTGTCAGTGTACTTGAGCTGGCTTTAAACTGCTAACCCAGGTATTGATAGCACTGCAGCCATGTGGAGATCAGGCTGGGTTGCAAAACCCACCCAAGAAGCTAAGTAAATACTTGGGTAGTTGACCTGTGCTGAGCTCTGTGACATTCTGGCTGTGCTAATTGGCCCCAGCTAATGCAAGCATCCACAAGCTTCAGTCACAGTAGTAAAGCCTGGGAGTGTAGAATACCCTCTTAGAGCGCATCCAGACGAGTGCGCACATGCATCTTGCAGCGTCTCAAACCCCTTTCAGATGCTGCAAGACACATACAGGAAAAAAAAATGTTCCCCACACTGCATATTTGCAATGCAGGAGCAAAATTAGCCCCCTGGATATTCAGGGGTAAAAAAAAAACTGCGCTGCAGAGCAGCGAGGCAAGACAAGGTCCCAGACCATGCCTGGAGGCAACCCGGGAGTGGGTTCTCCGGGAGAGATGCTTTGGTTTCTGGGCAGAGCGTCTCTGTGGTGCTCCTGCTGCCCCTGGCACTGTCAAAAGTAAGTTAGGGACATGGGGTGGGGGGGTGGTTTATTGGTATGGGTGGGGGGTGTTGGGAACAGCAGGGGGCTGTTAGGGGCTGTGGGGAGTGGTGGGGGATGT